GCGGGAGGGGACTTCCAGAAGTCCTTTCCAGCCCAGTTTTTCTTATGACTACGTGCAAAGGAATTGCACTCTGGAGCAGTGTGGTGCAGGAGAGGATTTTTGCTGAAAGGTCCCGTCTGTGGGTGTGCGCTATCGCATCAAGAAAAAAGTTTTCTATTTGAGATATAGACAATAAAAACACAGACTGAGAAATGAGTTGTAACTTGGACAAAAGATTTCCCAGGCCTATGTTTTTCTTACTTTGTCTAGTTTATACTGAGGTTTGACTGGGTGCTTCACGCTATGTTGTCCAGAAGCTTTAGCTATGGGAGAAAGTAACCTGGCGTATTTAATGACAATTCCTTGTCTAAAGCTAGAGGTATAAGTTGTCATGTAGGCGTTGTGATTTCAAAATAGCCTTCCTAATTTAGCTTATATTAGTTTATGAACAGTGAAATATGTCCCTCTGTATTGTCCACGTAAGTGTTGACGTGTCACCCTGTATTGTATGTATGAGTGTTGGGATGATTAACTTTTCATTTGAAGTACCACAAATAGAGATGTGTCCAACCTGTTTTGTTATGTTAGTTGTGATCACAAAGACTCTTCCTTCTCATCTTAATCCTGGTGGTTAAGAATTATTCTTTATGGTAACCTCACATTTGGTTTTTTTTTTTTTTTCCAAGGAAGAATTCATCAGTATTAATGGGAGTTGAAAGGTCTCTGATGCTGCCAAGATGTGCATGTGGATATAGGTGATGTCTAAACTGGGTGCTTTTTAGCATTATGTGACTAACACTCATTTGGGGATTGTTGTCTGTGTAACATCTGTGAGAACAAGGGGCAGACAAACATTAAAGGATAGGATGAGACAAATACTGTGAACCAGGAGCAAAAGTGCTGTGTGGTGTATTTCTGTGACATACTGATGCATAGTCTCCTGCTTCAGCATGATGAGTTAGTAGGGACCCTGAATGTACTGTTGCAGAGCAAATGAGTACAGTGCATCTCAGAACTGACACCAGGAGCTGATCAGAGGTAGAAAAGAGGAGTTTTCTCAATGAATATTTTTCTACTAAGTTGTTGTTTTGTTTTGTTTTTTTAAATAAGAAGTGCTATTGCTGGATTAAAACAGTGAGGGCTCTGCACATAAATCTAGTGAGACAGTAAAGTATCCCAAACGTGGCATATTCATGTACTTGCATAAATGGGGCTAGTTGAGCTGGTTCCCTTCCCTGGGAAAGTCTTGCAGTTTGGATAAGGAAATGAGGGAATCTGTGTGGTGAGTTCCATGTTCCTGGAGGATTTGATTGTGTGTCCTCTTTATCTTAGGTGATAGATTACTGTACCAGTTAATTTTGTTATTGGGCATACAGATACTTGATTCAGTGATGAGGGAAGGCAGGATTGTGAGGTGCAGAAGTGGTGGCATCAGTAGATACCTGGACAGACTTATAGGGGATGTTGGGGAGGAGCATGGTCACAGCTTGCTTGGAAACTCACCTCTCGGGGAGGTGCAGCAGAGAGGCAAAACTAGGTTTTCTGTGTAGGTAGATAAAAGATCCTCTGCTGGTGTTTCCTGAAATGCCCCTGCTGTCACCTGCAGTAAAATACAAGGTCAGACAGACAAGAGTCTCTCTGTGTAGCTGGGAGTGTGGTATAGGAGGAAAGTGTTCAGACTCACTGGGAACTACAGAAATGTGGAACAGTGGGAGCTTGTACAGAGAGGAAAAACATCTAGAGAAAATCAAAACCAGGCTTCTGGCACTTAAAATTGAAAAGCTTTCACAGGGGAGCCTTTAACAGTTTCTTAAAGGCAGAGCGTCAGGTGTGGAAGAGCACACAGTTTGGGATGATACCTTTCCTTGGGGTGAGGTTTTAAGAACCGTGTGCCTTTGAACAAGTGTTGGGATTAAGGTTGGCAGAACGTAGTGGAAATGGCAAAGAGTATTTTGAACAAATAGTCCTATTTCAGTAGGGTTGAGCTGGGGAGGGGTGGAGAAAAGGGTGGCTGGACCAAAACTTGTGTGCTTCTACAAACAAATCTGGAAAGTACAACAGGCAACTGGAATGGCTGGTTTGAAATGGGAATGCTTATCCAAAAGGCTTGTCAGGCCTGTCAGGACCTTCTAATACTAGGGCACAAATTACACAGGAAAGATGGAATAGCTCAGCCCAAGGGAGAAGTGGCAGTATGTGTTGAAGAAAGCTTTAGCGTCAAATCTGGTTGCTGGTGGGTTTTGTCAGTAAAAGTCACCTGAACTGCAATACCAGCCCTGTAGAGAACAACCAACCTGGTTGCTGACCACCCAATGTGATGGAGGGAATGACCACTCTGTTAAGGAAGATCAGAGGGGCAGCAAGGACTGGATAGAAAAGCAAAGGGAAGAATTACTTAGCCTCATGTAGGCTGGATCACACACGAGGTGTGACGACAAGTGCAATTGTTTAGATGCCACAAATGACTTCGTAGAGCCGCTGCTCGGAGAACCCCTGAGAAAAGCAGCAGTTCTTGACTTGATCTGGAGCAGTGCTCAGGTAATTGGATTCAGATGTTGCTTTAGAACAGCTGGACTGTAGTTTTGATATTCTTGCAGGATTAATAAAAGCCAAAGAAATGACTGATGCGTTTAATTTCAGAAGGGGGAATTACATAAGATGAGGAGGCTCATTAATTCACATATGGGTTAAATATAAAAAGCAGAATAAGACAGACAGAAAGAGTTTGAGAAACAGCTTGCAAAAGGGATAAACCAGCCATAAATCTTTTTCTTCTTCTGATGTGCTGGGGTGGGGCAGGGAGAGATGGCTGCAAACTTTGTAAGGCTGGTAGGAACAGGCAATAAGAAAGAACACCTACAGAAAGTAAAACTTAAATGAAAAACTTAATTATTTGTGTGCTCCCATGTTCACTATGGAAGCACTTAGGGAGGTTTTAATGGAAAATGGTGACGTGATAAGCATGTCGGAAACTTTGAGTGCAGTATCCTACTGAGCACTGTAATAGCAGGCTCTGAGACAGAGTCTTTCTCTATGGGGAGAATCATTAGAGGACATGTCTCATTAATATGCCAAAAGAATTGGCTTTAGAGAAAATCAACAACAGGAACAGTGTTTAAGTGCCATGATTTGAGGATATACACCTGAGACTTAAATTTGAATCTGAAATCGCTGAAGCCTTAACTCTGGTGTATAACCTATCACATAACTATTCCTTTTTGAAGGAAGTAGAAATATACTGATATTTTAAGATTTTTGAGGGAGGTACAGGCAGAAAGCCAGATCTGTGTATTCTGTAAATTGACTCATGAATAAATAGGCATGAATTACAGAAGAGTCAGTATGGCTTTGTATGGCTGGCTGCCTTTTTTTTTTTTTTTTTTTTTCCTTTTTCCTTCAGAAGTGTGTTTTGTTTTGCAGATCCACTGGCCATGGATGAGTTGATTGATGTATTTGGATTCCCAAAGGCTTTTTGATAAGCCTGTTGTTAAAGACTCCATGGGAATCAAGGTGCTGTGACACAAGGGAAGAGCTCTCAAGGAGTAATAACCAGTAGAAGACAAAGAGTAGGAGTTAATCTTCAGTTTTTGCATTATGGGCATAGAGTTGTTTTTATCCAGTTGAATTTCACAGTGACTTTGTAAGGCACATGCTTTTCAGCATATTTATAAATCTGCTAAAAGAAAAGAAAACTGACAGTGAAGAGTTGCAGAAGGATCTCTCCATTTTGAAAGACTGGGCAGTGATCTTGGAGTTACACTTGATCATTCTAGAGAAAGTCAGCTCCTAATATTGCTTTCTTGAAAAGCAATGAGCTATTTAGACAGGAGAGAAGACACCGTTGATAAGCACAACTGTGATTTGACCATGTCTTGAACCTGGTGTACAGTCTACTTTTGTCTTCTTTCCATTACCCAAATGTGATGTAACTGAACTATTGTAAGATGCATATTCTTTAAAAGGAGCAATTAAATGGAGTAACGCTTATCAGTCCGGAAAGGATATGTTTGAAAGACACAAGTTCTGTAAAAGTACAAAAGCTGCAGAGAAAGTTGTTGGAGAAAAATGGATATTTATTCACTTAATAAACTAGGAGGCGTCTAATGTTTATGTATAGTTTGTGTAGTTTTGAAAATGAACCAGACAAACTAATGAGGGAAAAATCCACTGAACACAATAAAACAATGGCAACTATGGATCACGGATCCCTTGAGCTAAAGGTTCTTGGAAGGTAGGAGACTAGTATCAAAGGAGCAGAGATGGTTCCCTGTTCCCTGGTTGACATCTGACACTGGGTGGTGTTGGTGCAAAGATGTTGGGTAGGTAGACATTTGGCCTGACTCACTGTAGCCTTTCTAATGTAGTGCAGGGAAAAAGTGCTCCTGCACCAACTGTTTGTCTCTGTAATATATGCACTGTGTCACTTGCTTGGGTAATGTGCTATGAGTAACTAGAAAAACCCTATGTCATAGTCTCCCATGGTAGGCAGCAACCACTTCTGAAATTCTTGGGTTTTATCATCATTCCCCCAGGTGAGTCAATTTTACATGGCCAGTGGCATCACAGGTGCAAATAAAATATTTGTTTCGCCCTCCCTTCCAGAAACTATAAAGTGTTACTCTCTACCTTAAAATGTCATGATCTTTGGAAGGCATTTGTATTTGATCTCCTCAGTTTGTGGCTCATTTTAAAGGTGGTGCATCTTTGCAATCAACTTCACCAGTGCTTATAACGTAGAACTGGGAAAAATGTTTGTCTGTGTGGCGGGTGAGGGATGTACCTTAGTAACTGGATGTATCCCTCTCAAAAAAAAAAAAAAAAAATTACATAAGAGTCCAAAAGAGTTCAAAATGTATTCGGCACACTAAGACAACTGCAGCATTGCTGTCTTCCAGTTTATTTCCCAGTTAGTCTGAGACCAGAAGGCAAATGCTCCTACACAGGCAGCCTTACTCTGCATGCTGAGATCATGAAGTCACAGAATGGCTGAGGTTGGAAGAGACTTCTTGGGATCATCCAGTCCAACCCCATGTTCAAGCAGGACCACCTAGAGCAGGTTGCCTAGGACTGTGTCCAGTCCGGTTTTGAATATCTTCATGGATGGATATTCCATGACCCCTCTAGGCAACCTCATAGAATCATAGAATCATTTAGGTTGAAAAAGACCTTTAAGATCATCCAGTCCAACCTTTAACCTAACACTGCCAAGTCCACCACTAAACCTGTTAAGGGTAGAATAATAATATCATGTTTCCTGGCTTGGTGGCTGGATTATTTTTTAATGAAAGTAAAAACTAGGAATCATTAAGGTTGAAAAGGATCTCCAAGATCATCAGTTCAACCATCAACCCAACACCACCATGCCCACTAAACCATGTCACAAAGTGCCACGTCTACCCATTTTTTGAACACTTCCAGGGATGGTGATGCCACCACCTCTCTGGGCAGCCTGTTCCAATGCTTGAGCACTCTTTCAGTAAAGAAATGCTTGACCACCCTCACAGTAAAAAGTGTTTTCTCATGTTCAGATTGAATTTCCTGGTTTTTAAATTTGTGCTCACAAGGATCTGTGCCATTTGAAAGACATGTGGTGTGCATCAGCCTGGATGTAGAGAAGTGGAAGGCTGAAACAGTGCAAGGTGTCCAGCCAGGATATGAGGAGCGTCACGGGAGCCATCAGTGGCAGGAGTCTGCAAGTGCTGCTGTTCATAGTGCAGCCAGTACTAGTTTTAATTCTTGCTAACTCAGTATACAGCAGGGCTATTTTTAATTCCAGAGGGAGCTTGTTGATTGATTTGTACAATAAAATATCCGAGCATTTTCATGTGGAAAAGCCATGTTCAATGTGAATTAGCTGTCAGGCACAGCTAGTGGAGTTTTTGGTGTCTGGGGACAGCAGTTTTAGGCTCATCTCACACAAGTTCTCTGCTTCCTGCTGCTGTCAGTTAAAGTGGGAATATCTTGATTTTTTTTTTCCTTTTTTTTAGTTTGAGACATCTCACTTTTCCTTTCTGTTTCCTTTGCTTTGTTTTTAAAGGCAGCTGGGCATCCCTGTTGTCTCTAGCAGGTAATGAAATCTCTCACCATTTGCCTTTAAATAAGGTTCTGTTTCATCTGGACTGTCAAAATAAATGGCTGTTACAGAGAAGTGATGAATTAAATACTACCTTCAAGTGACTTAAGTGCCATTTGTATTTTCACAGTACTTACTGTTAAAGAAGAAAGCTGCCATCACTATCAGTATTTTATAAATCGTCATGAAGTTCCACATTTGCCAGTTTTTCTTCATGTGTCTCATGGTAACATGGCATGTGAAAAGGCTATGCAGAATTGATGGGTGTATGACATCCTTCTGAAGACAGAGAACTTGTGTAGCATTGCCTACTAAATGGCAGTGACGTGAGGTAGAAATTACAAAAGTAACAGGAGATAGAAATGCTGTGTTTCTTTCCCTTCCCATTTGTAAAGTTCTCATACCTTGCTTATTTGTCTGCTTATGTGAACTATAAGGATAGATTTTCCACGTGTTGTTGAAAGCTCCCCCCTCCCCCTGCCCCAGGAAAATGGGTCATACCAGAGACTTAAAAAAGCTTACGGAAATTAACTCTTACTCATTTTTATGAATCCTTTATAGGAAGAACAAAACTTTAGTTATTCTCTGTGATAATAAGGAAGATTTTTTTTTTTTGCAAGAAGACTATATAACCTTTTTCTAATCAGTAACATTGCCTTCTTTTCTTTATTTTACTAGTTATTGGACAGCCTGCAAAGAGTAAGCGTCCAAAAGAACCTGGGGAAAACAAAATTAAGCCTGTCAACAAAAAAGTAAAACCCAAAACCCCCAAAATGAAGGAGAGAGAATCTGCTGACTCCTCTTTGAAGTCCCAGTCCATACTGACACAGGTGATAGATAAAGGTCGTTTCCAGAAACTAGCTGCCACTTTAAGCCTGTCTGCAGGACAAAGCATAGAACTGCGATGTAAGGGAAATAATGTTACTTGGAACTATCCTTCATACTTAGACACCTTTAAAGACTCCAGACTCAGGTAAGCTATTTTTCATTCTTTTTGGGGGGGCGGGGGGGAAATCTAAGACTTTTTTTTTTTTTCCCTAGCACTTCCAACACCATTGGGGTTTTTGATTGGTTTGTTTATATTTTTACAATCAAGATGTTTCACCTAGTGGTTTTTAATATCAACAAAAAAGGATGAGCATCTTTCAGTCATCACCAGTTACTGCCCTGTGATTTGCACTGTGGAATAGCAGCATGGGAACTGGGTTTCCTTCAGATGAATCTAAAATAGAAGATGTGGTCCAGTGGGACACCAGTGTGCTCCAACCACTAAGAGGGAAACACAGTAGAGCTAGTCCAAAGTAAAACTCTCAAAATGTGTGCGTGTTGATGTCAGGTACTCACTACCAACTCTGTTGCTCTACAGAGACCTGTTCCTGGTGGGCTGCGCTCGTTGCTAATGTAGCTACCGCCTGAGACACTAAGATTAATTTCCTGAGGAGGCTCAAACTCCCACCTCTCAACGAGCAAAAAAATACACCAACCACCATGCTAAGGAGCAAGTGAGAGTAGTCTTTACTTTTTCAGTCAAAGTTACCTTTGTGTACAAAAGGGAATTGCAGAGTTTGTGGCATGACAAAATTGAATGCTGAGGATAGTCACCTTGGGTTTAGGAAGGCTTTTTCTTTCATCTAGTTACTTTATAATGGAAACTGCATAAATAGTTGTTAGAGCAGGAACGGGA